GGTTTAACCCACTGTGCCATTGGGGGCTACATGCCAAATGCAAAACAAACAAACAAAAAACCCAAAACAAAAAGCATTATTTATAAAAAGTAATTAAGATGTAGTGATTAGACTGAACTCTGAAAAAATAGAGCTCCATATCCTCCAAGTTCCAAACAAGGGTGCATCTACACTGTAGAATTAATGCTGTTTGAGACCACTTTAACTGCAGTAGCTCAATGCTATGGATGTTGGAAATAACAACCTTCTACAAGCCTCCTATACTAATTATTTATATTAAATTCAGATTGCTTATTATATTGTATATATCTTTTGGTATTCAGTTTCCCCTTAACTCTATGTTATTTGAGGTTGTGGGTGGGACTACAGACCATGTGACCAGATCTGAAACTATTCAGACTGAGACTCCCATTTTAGAAGTCAGTATTTGCATCAGATTGCGCCAATCAAACGTATTAATGTTTCCAAGTATTGGCAAAAATGCAACTGCACTCAAAGCTGAATTTGAGCAGGAAGGAGAAATCACACCAAAAACATGCAAAAACATACATTAAAAATGTTGCTACAATCCCTTTTTTTCCAGTCAAAATGGAATCACTGAAATTTCCATGCGTGGCAGTTTGGGCTTTCCATATTTTGTAATCCCCAGACATATTTCTGGCCTTATCTTATTAACCATGTCAAGCGTTCACCTCTAGCAAGACTCACAAAACTGGATAAACCTGTCAGTTGGAAGCAGGAACTAAAGGCAAACCGATTTCAATGGGCTACAGTCTAGAAAGAGGAGGCACATTGTATAGAGAGTCATAGGAGCATAGATTTTTAGAGCTGGAAGGGACCCCAAGGGCCATTCAGTCTGACCCCCTTCTGCCAGGCAGGAAGGCACAATCAAATCCCTCCTGACAGATGGCCATCCAACTTAAAAGCCTCCAGAGAAGGAGACTCCACCACTCACAGCCTCAGAGTGTGGTGAAGGCTCCTTCTTTGGAGACTTCTAAACAGAGGCCACATGGCCATTTGTTGGGGGTGCTTTGATTGTGCTTTTCCTGTATATCAGAATGGGGTTGGACTGGATTGGTCTTGTAGTCTCCTCCAACTTTACTATTCTACTTTTACTTATGCAAAGATTATCTGCACAAATAAAGTTCTTTCATTTCACATGTGCCTCCTGTAAGCTTTGCATAAACCATTTGCAGAAACATATCAGATTGCTCTTTTTGTACGCAATTTTGTGTACAGTATATATATAGGATCTTATCTCGACACCTCTGGAACTGACATGGCTCAATGCTAAGGAGTTGTAGGAGCTGTAGTTTTACAAGGTCTTTAGCCTTCTCTGCCAAGGAATGATGGTGTCTCACCAAACTACAAATCTCACAATTCCAAAGCATTGGGCCATGGTAATCAAAGTGGTGTCAAGCTGCATTAATGCTCCAGTGTAGATGCACTCTAAAGTGACTCTATTATAGGTTTTTCTGGGACTGAGAGTATGTGACTTGCCCAAGAGGACTTTATTCTAGTTTCCAACAATTATATTAATGCATGAGTATGGCATTAGCTCACAACATACTGGATAGTTAAGATCAATAAATTGGCATGCACAAATGTTCAAGCATGATGCACCCCAATGTCTTATAGTCTTATAGGTGCTTGAAAACCATTGTGAAATGTTCCCTTCCTGTTTTGTTGCACACTGTTTTGTTTTGTACATGGTATGAAAGGCCAACGTTAGAAAAACACGAAGGTTTGTATGGCTGAACCTAAGGCCATGCAGACCAGTCTGTCCACATTTCTCAACAGTCTGGATAAGGTCTCTTCTTGCAACCTTCTATTGTTGTGTGCCTTCAAGTTCTTTCTGGTTTATAGGGGCCCTGAGGCTGTAAGGAGTATGTGACTTGCCCAAGGTGAGTTTCCATGGATTTGAACCCTGTTGTTTACATTTTATAAGGACATATATTACAAATAGTCATTGCTTGTTTTGAGGTTTTACATATGAATGGTCCCATCAGGAAATGCATAAGAATGAGGATAAACTACAACTCCCATCATCATATGTCATGATAGCCATGTGTGCCATGATGGCCATGTCTGCCAGGTTTGGTCCAGAACCATTATCAGTGGGGTTCACAATAATTGCTGTATATGAGTGAACTACAACTCCCATTGTCCTGGGTCAGTCCCCACCCACCACAACTACACCAGTAGTTAAAGATGGTCATGTTGAGGACGTATGTCAGGTTTGGTCCAGATCCATTATTGGTGGGCTTCACAGTGCACTTTGCATTTGTGTGAATTAGAACTCCTATCATCCTTTGTCTTTGCCTCACAAGCCCAGTCAGTACTTAAGGTTGGTTATAATGGGTCTGTTTGCCAAGTTGGTGAGCTTCATAGTGCTCTCCAGATGTGAGTGAACAGCAACCCCCATAATCCTATGTTATTGCCACCGAAGTCCTGCCAATATTTAAAGTTGATCATGATGGGTCTGTGTGCCAAGTTTGGTCCAGATCCATTTTCAGTGGGCTTCACAGTGCACTTTGCATATGGGTGAACTATAATTACTATTGTCCTCTGTCATTGCCCTCTAAACCCGACCAGTCCTTAAAGCTTGTTATCGTGAGGTCTGGATGCCAAGTTTGGTCCATGGCATTGTTGCTGGGAATCACAGGGCTCTCTGGAAGTGGGGGCCATCTTGGAAAATATGTACATACTTATGTATACTCTCTAGGGATATTAGATCAGCCTCCTCCTTCCTGACCTTCCAGAGGAAAGTAAAAATCTGGCTCTTTGAAAGAGCCTTTGGAAACGCAATGCAGTAGACTAACATGGATCTATGTGGAACTGAACTGTGGAACGGCTTAGACGATGTTTTTGGACAACGAGATGGACATTGAAGGCATTGGTTTTATATGTTTTAAATGGTTCTATTGTATGATTTTAGAAATTTGTTTTAAATGTTTATATACTGCATATTGTTACGGCATCAAATGGTTATAAGTCACCTTCAGGTTTGAGAAAGGCAGGATAGAAATAGCATATATATATATATATATATATATATATATATATATATATATATATATATATGGTGTGTGTGTGTGTTTGTATTATGTACATAGATATGCATGTGTGCTCACAATGACTGCAATATCCAGTACTTCGTGTGCAAGTTAAATAAAGCATCATTCGATTTTAAAATTGCCCTTACATAGTAGTGAAGTGGCCATTAGCTTCATTGGCTGCATCTTACCTCTATGGTCCATATCTGGAGACCTGGTTTCCGTTCAATTGTTGGGAGCCCCACGTCAGCTTCAGCGTCAGTCATTGTGTTTGGCTAGAATTAAATAGAGAAGGAGAAATGATGGGAACCCAGGTTTGATCAAGAGTTTAAAGAATAGTAGTAATACCAGCTTTCAATCTGAATTCGAAAGGTGTTATCCAAGGTGCTGGGGACTGAGCCCAGCCTCCTAGATATACAGACTAAGGGTGCATTTACATTTGTTGTATCCCAGAGCAGGAACACCTCTGTCCTTAAACACCACACCAGTAAAATCAGCAAACAGTTTATTGGATATATGTAAGCAAAGCAATAAAAATGATAGAAACCTTATTTTCCAAAGAGTACAGATAGTCCGTGAACTTCAGGGTACAAAGGTAAAAATACAAGATCCAAAGATGCAAAACCCAAAAGAACAAGACAGCATGGAGATCCAATACTCAGAACATGAACCTGGCAAAACTTGAAACATGAAACTAGAAATCCACTTGGAAACAAGACCATCGTGAAAATCCGATGTTTTCCTTGTTTCATATAAAGCTTTTCCTTTCCCATGAACCGAAAGAAAAGCATTCCATTTGCCCTTACAACCAGATAAGGATTTCTTATCTCTCTTTTTCTAGCAGATGGACTGACCTTCGGTGATCTTGAGAACTCTTAATTTACAAAAGTATTTTTTTCTATCTTCAAACTCATTAAATTCTGCACCTGACAAATCATCCTCAGAAGACGGTTTCTCAGAGAAAGACTGCTGTGGGCCTCTCCCAGGAATTTGGCCTTTGACTCTACAGGAGAAGCACTCTGTTCATTAGAGATCTCAGGCCTCTCAACAAGGACTGGCTCGACTCAGGCCCAGAAAAACCCTCATCCCCATTGACATCAGACCAGGCCTGTAGCGAGGGGGTGGTTTTAGGGGTTCAACCTCCCCCCCCGAAATGTTTCAGATTTTTTTTAAAAAAACCTGGTTTACTCATGAATTTTAACTGGTTAACCAAATCCCCATGCTAAGTCTATGAGATGCACAAAAATTAAGAGTCCCTCCAGAACTATAAGCACTATCTCAAGCCAATATTAACAATTTATTCACACTGTCATTACTTGCAGCAATAGCCGATGTAGTGAAGCAACCAAGTTGGGGGTGTGTGTTGAATGCTCTCATTAAGGAGGCCAGACTTGGTGGAGGTGGTTGACAGGGGTGGAGCTGCAGGCTATTGAAGGTTGCTCTGCCCCCTGCTGTGCTCTTTGCTTCAGCGTGAGCTAGGAGGCAGGTTTCAACCCCCCCCCGAAATTTTCAACCCTCCCCGAAATTTTCAACCCCCCCCCGCCGAAATTGTCAACCCTCCCCGAAATTTTTTTCTGGCTACGGCCCTGCATCAGACACAGACCCAGGAAAACCATCAACCCCATTGACATCAGATACAATCACAGGGCGAACTACAACAACATTGGAGAATTAATGCAGTTTGACACCATTTGAACTATCATGGATTAAGCCTATAGATGAGTTGTAGTTATATTAGGTTCTTCACTTTCTCTGCCCAAGAGTGCTGGTATCTCCCCAAAATTACAACTCCTATGGTTCCACAGCACCATGCTGTGGCAGTCCAAATGTTGTCAAACTGTGTTAATTCTCCAATGTAGATGCACCCTAAAATGTAGAGCAGATTCATGCCTGTATTGACATGGAAGCCACCACTGTTCCTGTCCTCTCCATACTGTGAAAAGCTAGAATTGTTGGGTTTCTCTCCATCCTGCCTGTCCTGTGCTAATATTTAATCTCTGTTTCTCAATTAATGTTTTGATTTGATTGATTGCTTCATGGTGGTTTCGTTCCTTGCATGAGAAATGGGAGTCACATAGTTCTTTATATGTGGTTCCTTTAGTCATCCAAGGAGATGGATGAGCAGAGGATTAGAGGAAACATGTCATGCATGGAACTACTCTCCCATTATCCAAATAAAACATTATAAGCCAAGCCCAAGTCTCCCGAAAAGTCTACATGTGGTTCTAATGCCTGCCACAGAGAGCGAGATGCCAACCTCATCCACTGCTGACTGTGGGTGTATCTACACCAGACATGGGCCAACTTGAGGCCTCCAGGTGTTTTTGACTTCAACTCCCACAATTCACACAGCCTCAGACCTTTTCCTTTTCCCCCCTCATACCTGATCTACACCATAGAATCAATGCAGTTTGGCACCACTTCGACTGCTATGACTCACCGCTGTGTAGTCAGGGGATTTGTAGTTTGGGAAGGCATCGGCACACTTTGTCAGATAATGCTCAGAAACAGATAAAACTTTGACTCCTGTGATTCCACTGGATTGAGTCCATGGCGGTCAAAGTGGTGTCAAACTGTACTAACTTTACTGTGTAGATGCCCCTTAAGACAGGGTACAAGAGTTATAACTTTTTGAGAAAACAATTGTGCTCCAAACACATATCCAAAAATATTTTGAAATATCCATTTTTGAGTGTTGAGAAAGAATTCTAGACAGATGAGGATTTCCAAATCTTGGCACATCTTGTGCAGAAAATTCGTGTTTGGTTGTTTTGGGTACAATACCAACACTAGAAAAATGTAAACGGTTGTGTAACAAATAGCATATTCTGCACAGAAAATACTGTTTCTATGAAGAAAACAGCACTGCATGCATGTAAATATTACCTCACTACCTCTGAGGATGCTTGCCATAGATGCAGGCGAAACGTCAGGAGAGAATGCCTCTAGACCATGAGTGTTGAGAAAGAATTCTAGACAGATGAGGATTTCCAAATCTTGGCACATCTTGTGCAGAAAATTCGTGTTTGGTTGTTTTGGGTACAATACCAACACTAGAAAAATGTAAACGGTTGTGTAACAAATAGCATATTCTGCACAGAAAATACTGTTTCTATGAAGAAAACAGCACTGCATGCATGTAAATATTACCTCACTACCTCTGAGGATGCTTGCCATAGATGCAGGCGAAACGTCAGGAGAGAATGCCTCTAGACCATGGCCATACAGCCCGAAAAAACCTACAACAACCCAGTAAATACTATTTGTTGCAAAAGAAAATCTTCACTACACAGTACATTTTGTTGGAGCATGCAAGGAATCAGTTAATGTTTGTGTGTCAACTGTAAAATAAGATGCATGAAACTGATTGGTTCGGCAATGCCCACGGAACTGGCTGAGCCTGGGACTTTTAGTTACTGTTACAGTTTTGTTCAGGCTTGGGCTATACAGGTACAGACAGAGAGAAGCAGAAAGAGACAGAGTTTGGAGTGTGCTCTTGCTTCATGAGCTGCTGAAGGAGGAAACCGCCCAGCCCTAAGAAAGACCATTTTAAATTTCTCATAAAAGGACATTATGTGAGTTGATGCAACCAATCACATTGTACATACGTTGTTATGAACTATGAAGATTAAACTAATTGTTCTTCACTGTTCACCTGTCTAGCATTATTTTCTTTCTCTGGCAAGACAGTGTGTAGGCTGATCAAATGCGAACTACACATGGTTTATTTTCATTAAGCCATACATCTTGTTTTCTATGCAAAGCAATCATGAATGAATTTTTGCCAAAGAATAAACTCCGTATCGGAATCCCCGGTGGCGCAATGAGTTAAACCCTTGTGCAGCAGGCCTTCTGAGCAAAAGGCTGGTGGTTTGAATCTGGGGAGCAGGGTGAGCTCCCATCTGTCAGCTCCAGCTTCTCATGCGGGGACATGAGAGAAGCCTTCCACAAAGATGGTAAAACATTCAGGCATCCCCTGGGCAAGGTCCTTGCAAATGGCCAATTCTCTCATACCAGAAGTGACTTGCAGTGTCTCAGGTTGTGCCTGACACACCAAAAAACAAAACAAAAACCCTCCATATTGCTAAAAACCTTCAAAAGCAGCATGGTTTCAAAACATTCTCGTAGTAGTGAGGAAATTGTTAAAATTAAGCTATAGCAGAAAATTTGGGCTATATCCCAATTTGGCACATGGGATTCATCATGCACAGTAAGGTTTAGTGCCATGCTTTGGGCACACAATATGTGCTGTCATGCCCTGGGCTTATAGCAAATGGCTTTTGAACAGGACGTGCTCTTTATGCCCAGCGGGAAGCCGGGGTGCCTCAGCTGAGAGGCCCTAAGGATTTTCCTATACAAAGTCTTTAGAAGCTTGAAAAGTTTAACAAGGTCCTTTATTATTGCTTAGGTCTTCAACAAAACAATCAAATACTTCTCAGATCTTCAACAAGTCTAACAAATACTTCAAGGCTTTGAATCAACTGGTGGCTTTCTTAATCTTGTCCACAAGGGACAGGCAACTGGCTTTGTGAACTGTTTTTTTTTAAGAGGAAGACCCTTTTTAACCCCTCCTTGGGCTATCTACCTTCTAAACTTTGCTGGTGTGGGCCCTACTCCCGGCTCCAAACTGCTTCTTGGGTCCTGAGTAGACCTACCAGCTGGAGTCCTTTGGAACTGTTTTCCCCCGGAATTTCGTAAGAAACGAAGCTTCTCTACAGGTGGAGCTGATTCACGTCCTGTAGCTAAGCTTTCAACTATAAGACTGAGGTAAAATGGCTCCCTTTCCTTCCTGAACCCTGGGGAAAGAGGCGGAACTAAAGAACCTAATGATGATTGATGGGTCATTGGCCCTATAATTGCAAAACAAGGGAAGCCACCTTATTGCAAAATGGATGGAACCTTGGAATGCATGCAAACACTCAATAGAAAGAAATGAAGTTGGAGCTCCTGGTACAGCCATACCAGCACACAATATGAATCCACTCCTGCCCTTGGGAAAGCCATTGAGATTTGTCAAGGAAATTAAAGGAACTTGGCCGCAACACCAAAAAATATGATGGTAGTCCAACATAAAGTTGCTAACGAAGTTTGGCTCGATCACGGAGTTTACCTGTTCAGTTTACATTGGGCTGCATTGCAAAGGAAAGGCAAACAAACCTATCTCCGACAAAGCTTGGGAAACACAGCCGCACCTCTCTTTTCAAACAGCAGCAAGTAATGCCTTTACGCTTGCTGTGAAATATTTCGTTTTCATAGTCGCATTAAAGTAGGCTTT